CCTATGTCTAAAAGGCACAACGTCAGGGATTGGAGCCCTAATGTTGGCAAAAGGCGACTAGGGAATGGAGACCCTATGTCTAAAAGGCACAACTCAGGGATTGGAGCCCTAATGTTGGCAAAAAGGCGACTAGGGGCATTCTCTCCTTCTCTTTATCATGATTTTCTCCCACAACCATACAACATGCTTCCTACACCCTTCTCATCACCATCACTATATTTTTTTTACTTCCCTTCTTTTTCTCTATCCTACTTGTAAGCATCATCATTGTCTCTATAAAACACCATCTCTTGTTTCCTCTGGTTCTTGATATGTGTGCTACCATTGCCCATGGAAATTCTAGTAAATTCGTGATTGTAAGGGAATCAACTTGAGGTTCGGCTCTATGCGGAAAGTGAACCTATTTTTCATAGGTCAGGGCTCGGAACTCCTTCCATCAAGCTGTTTTGGGGTTGGAAGTGACTTTTGGTTTCGGTCTAACCTATTTTTAATGTAGGTCCATACGAGAATCAGTAGCCTGAAGGCCCTGAACACCTATTACAATCCACTAATATCAAACTTGATGTTCTTCCTTTATCCATTTCTACTTATAGTTTGCTTCAATATTGAATGAAAATTCTACTTGATCTCATTTAGTTGGCGCTGGTTTACTCAATGGGTTATGGAGTCTTATATTGCGCTATTTCAGGTCCCCTATTATCTTGCGGAGCTAACAGAAAAAGTTGCAGATGGTGACAGGATAAAAGTACTCAAAGCTTCACAAGCTAAGCTAAAGGTAAAGACTATAAGATATGTAATAGATTATATTCTGTGGGAAAATAAAATTTATCTTTTAGTGATATCTCCTCATTTTAATTTGCCTCTCTTTTATATCTAGGAATTCATTTCATTCTGTGAGACAATGGAACTTGTTCCTGAAGAGGAGATGGAAACATTTACACAAGGTGGAGCTAATTCTTCTGTAGATCGTAGAGCTAAGAAGGTAACCTGGATTTAACCGTTGAATTGCTGTATATGACAGTTACTTTTAAGGATTGGAACTTTATCACAAGAAAGATTTGATTCTTTTACTTTTTTTAGTGACATTGAGTTACAAATGCATTGTTATTTTAGATTGCTCGTTTCAAACGGCAAAGAGCTGCTGAGTCGAAACTACTTGAAATTAAGGAGCGGAAAGAGCGTCGTGGACGATCAACTAAAGCAGCTGCATTGTCAAGTCCTGTTGAGACTGAAGAAGATGATGTGCTGGATGACGATGGAGAAGAAGAAAGGGAGGTTAGTTAATTCCCTAGTTATGTCATGGGCATGAGCATGGGCATTAGCACAAGCTTCTTTTCTTGTCATCTGTTTCTTCATCTGGTGTTGCAACTTTTATGACACACTTGCACTTAATTGGTGATCATCCTTATGGTTCAAGCAATTAATTGAAACAGTTTCAGAAGCTGGTTAATCTTAAAATAAATGATCTGATATAAGTTATAAAAAAGTTATAGTGTGTTGGATGATGTTGGTTAGCATCTAAGTAGCTGCTATAATGTTCTTTCAGAGGCTGACAAGTGAAGGTCGCAACATTGGAGCCCAGGGGCAGATGTAAAGTCCAACCTACGGGGTCATCCAAACTCAATAGTTTTGGCTCGGACCCTGTATATGCGCTAAAAAGTTCATAAATAAATACAAATAATAGATTTCGAACTGAGTAAATCAAATGAGTTTTTGTAGAATCCCGAACTTGAACCTATTAATTTTAAATCTTGGATTTGCCATTGTTGGAGCCTAAATTCTGTGGACTCTTGGATGGGCACTCATTATTTGTTTGAATTATCTGCATGAAATGTTTATCATCACCTTTTGACCTAACTTCCTCACAAGATTTGCACAAGACATCAATGACTAACAATCTTGCATTTTGGATGTGATTTTTTGGGAGAATCTCGATTTGCTCTTTAGATGCCATTTGATATATTGATTATACTAATATTATTCCTCTAAGATACACACAGCCTGATTTGTGCAAAATTTTCTGTCGCTTCTATTAGGTTATTTTTAATCTCAAGTTTTGGCTTCTCTATGTTCACTTCTGAGTAAATGTCTGATTCTTCAAAACTATTATGCATTGCAGGCATGGCTTACAACTATCTCCTTGGGCCTCTGTAAGGTCTGCTAAGATCTTCTATACTCGTAGTTGATCTTATTTCTGTGCTTGATATCTTATGTTCATAGTTTCCAAATACTACCATGCAGGCCTTTGATCTGCTTGAAATGCTGAAGAAAGAGGAAGAAATACTGTCTGCTGTCAAGGAGAAGCAGCTTCAGGTACTATTAAACCAACTCAGTCGAATTGGCTTCTTTTCTGTTATAATTTGTCATAGTGTCCTGGTAGCCTCTGATATGGCTATTGCTATCTGAACTTGTGTGTTCCATCCTTTATTATCTCTTAAATTATTTCATTTCATCAATTTATTTGATCATGTGGTTTCTGCCCCTATGCAATTCGTAGTACAAGGCATTTTCCTAAGAGAGAGACCTCCATAGAACTAATGTTCTGGAGCTTGTTGGGTTTGCAATGATCACACAATGCTAGATCAAGAGGGAAGTGATATAACTTTAGATGACTGCATCACTGCTTCTTGTGGGCTTCACTCTAATTTCCATTATCTTCTACCTTAGGGTGGTATCATTGGGGGGTTTGGGGGTGGGGTTGGGGCCTTAATCTTTTGCTTAAGACTACCTAGAAGATCAGTAGTAATTTGCACTGCTGTTCTTGACCTTTGTGATTCCTCATCATGTAAAGACAGCTTTGTACGCGTACTTTCTTACTTCTTTTGTAGGATGGGGAGAAAGAATTCTCTCAATCAATACTCGATGAACGCACCAAAAAAGTAGAAACTTGGCATCGTGATGCTGCCGCTCGAGCACACTATACAAAACCTGCAGCACCTATCACCTGTGCCACTTTTGCACAAGATGTCATAGAAGGGAGGGCCAAGGTTTCGCAGGCACATGAACATAAACACCAACCTTTAATTTTTGGACCTGCAAGTCTTGTTGGTAGGAACCCAACAACTGAACGGGAAAAAATAGCTGCCCAGGTCTTTCAGCCTCATTATAGGTATGCATCTTCTCTTGAAGACAAAGTTAATATGGCTACTCCAGTTTTAGATCCTAGATGGACAAGTAAGTTGAAGAACTAACTGTCATCTTTATTCAAATGCTAGAATGCCAACCATGAGCATTGAAGAAGCTGGATTAACGGAGATGAATATGATGAACGAATGGCAAGAAAGGAATGTTAAGCTCATGGAAGAAGCAAATTCCTCATGGTACAAGGACGCCCCCAAGTCCAGGCCAGGTGAAGATGATGAAGAAGATGATGATGACGCCGCCCAAGACAAGGCAAGAGCATGGGATGACTGGAAAGATGACAACCCTCGTGGTGCTGGCAACAAGAAGCTAACTCCTTGTGGTTAAGGAAGCAATTGCTGCAGAGTCTTAAGAGTTTACACTTTACAACAATAACCTTTTTGAAGTAGCCACCTAAATTAAAACTCATTATCAATGCTACACCAGTTTGTCACTCAGTTGAAAACTATTTTATTATTGTTTTATTTCTGCTTCATTTTTGTGTAATGTCTAAGTAGATGATGCATGGGAAAGTGGTGGTTATTGAAAGTTGATAATGTTAATTTTTCTAGTAGGTGTTGATTGGATTTGGTGTAACAACTGTATCTTGAGAATATGGTAGAGGATAATTAATTTCAGTACTTTATTTTGTTCCAATAAATGTACGAGCTAATATTTTAATGAAGCACATTTATAGTAAATGCTTCCGTAATTTACGTGCCAAAGATTGCATAATCATGCTTCGGCTTTTGTACCTTTCTTTGCTAGGAACAAAATCAATTCGGCATTATCAATCATCAACAACAACAACGACGATCCAGTAAATCCCACTTGTGGGATCTGGGGAGGGAAGGTAGTGTGTACGCAGATCTTACCCTACCAAAGAGCAGATCAAACAACAACATAGTGTAAAGTAAAGTATTTGTTGAGATCTTTTTCCCGGAATTTGGTTAGAGAGTGAAACATATATTATAGGGAAAATATTATATTTGTTATAAAATAATAAAAGAATAAGAATAATATTGCAGAGAAAAGTAGAGAGAGAATTCTTATTGATTTGGGATGAATTACGATGGAATAGAACCCTCTATTTATAGGGAGAGGTTGACTTAGCCACCAAGTAATAAACCCTAGAATCTCTATAAATATGGACATTCACCATAAATAGAATTCTATTTATAACACTCCCCCTGAATGTCTATTCAACAGATAATGTGCCTCGTTAAAACCTTAACCAAAAGAAAACCCAATGGGAAAAAATTCTAGAAAAGGAAAAAGAGTACACATGTTTAGAAATGCGCCTATTGGTTGCCTCGTTAAAAACCTTGCAAGGAAAACCCAGTGGGACAAAACCTTGTAAGGGAAAAAGAGTGCAACGCGCATTAACTCCCCCTGATGAGAGCATCAATTCACATCCTTGAGCCTTCGCATCCCGATCTTGTACACTAGCTTCTTGAAGGTTGACGTTGGTAGAGATTTTGTGAACAAATCAGCCATATTATCACTTGAACGAATCTGTTGCACATTAATATCACCATTCTTTTGAAGATCATGTGTGAAAAATAACTCTGGTGAAATGTGCTTTGTCCTATCTCCTTTTATGAATCCTCCCTTCAATTGAGCTATGCATGCTGCATTATCTTCATACAAAATTGTGGGTAGTTTGTCACATTTCACACCACATTTTTCTTGAATGAGATGTATTATAGACCTCAACCACACACATTCTCGACTTGCTTCATGAATAGCAATTATCTCAGCATGATTAGATGAAGTAGCCACAATTGATTGCTTAGTCGATCGCCAAGATATGGCAGTGCCTCCACAGGTAAATACATAACTTGTTTGAGACCGAGCCTTGTGTGGGTCAGATAAATACCCAGCATTAGCATAACCAACAAGATCGGGACTGCAATTGTTGCCATAAAATAAGCCCATATCGGTAGTCCCTTTTAGATACCGCAATATGTGTTTGATTCCATTCCAATGTCTCCTTGTGGGAGCAGAGCTATATCTTGCTAAGACATTAACCGAAACAGTTATGTCAGGCCTTGTAGTATTGGCAAGATACATTAGTGCACCAATTGCACTAAGATATGGTACTTCGGGACCAAGTAGCTCTTCATTCTTTTCTTGAGGTCGGAATGGATCCTTATTCACATCAAGTGATCGAACAACCATCGGAGTACTTAATGAATGTGCTCCATCCATGTAAAACCGTTTCAATACCTTTTATATGTAGGTAGATTGATGAATAAATATTCCGTTTGCCAAATATTCAATTTGCAAACCAAGACATAATTTTGTCTTTCCGAGATCTTTCATCTCGAATTCCTTCTTTAAATAATCAATTGCCTTTTGGAGTTCTATAGGAGTTCCAATAAGGTTTATGTCATCAACATATACGGCAAGTACAACAAATTCTGATGTTGTTTTCTTTATAAAAACACATGGGCAAATGGCATCATTTAGATAGCCTTCCTTTAATAAATACTCACTAAGACGATTATACCACATTCGTCCTGATTACTTTGGACCATACAAAGATCTTTGCAATTTGATTGAAAATATTTTTCGGGACTTTGAATTATGTGCGTTTGGCATTTTAAATCCATCGGGAATTTTCATGTATATCTCATTATCAAGTGAGCCATAAAGGTAGGCGGTAACCACATCCATTAAATGCATGTCAAGCTTTTCATGGACAGCAAAACTAATGAGATAACGGAACGTTATAGCATCTATAACGGGTGAATATGTCTCTTCATAATCGACACCAGGCCTTTGTGAAAATCCTTGTGCAACAAGGCGTGCCTTATATCTTTGTACCTCGTTTTTCTCATTTCTCTTGCGTACAAAGACCCATTTATAGCCAACAGGCTTAACACCATTAGGTGTTTGGACTACAGGCCCAAAAACTTCACGTTTCGCAAGTGAGTTCAACTTTGATTGGATTGCTTCTTGCCATTTTGGCCAATCACGTCTTTGTCGACATTCTCCAACAGACTGAGGTTCAAGATCCTCACTTTCTTGCATAATGCTAGATGCAACATTATATGCAAAGACATAATCCACCACTATATCCACTCGATTCAAATTTGTCTCAATATCGATTGGATTTATTGATAGTTCCTTATTTTCTTGAGTCTCGGGCTCAGTGAATTCCTCATGAATCTCAGAATTTATTAAATTGTGGATTTCTTCATGAGATTCTTTCGTAGTGTCATTTTGATCATTTATTTTCCTTTTTCTAGGATTTCGATCTTTGGAAGCTAATGGTCTGCCACGTTTAAGGCGTGCTTTTGACTCATTAGCTATGACACTAGAAGATTGTCCAATAGGGACATCAATACGGATTGGAACATTCTCCGCAAGGGATATGTGATTTTGTTATCCTTTTCATATCCGTAAATGCATCTGGCATTTGATTTGCTATTCTTTGCAAATGAATAATCTTTTGCACCTCTTTTTCACAAATAGAGGCACGTGGATCAAGATGAGATAATGATGGATTTTCCACAAAATTTCCCGTTTGGTTTCACCAACTTCTCCCCCTAATTCTGGGAAGAGTGTCTCATCGAATCGACAGTCTGCAAATCGTGCAGTAAACAAATCCCCCGTCAATGTTTCGAGGTAGCGAATAATGGAGGGCGATTCAAAACCAACATATATTCCTAACCTTCTTTGTGGACCCATTTTGGTGCGATGTGGTGGTGCTACAGGCACATATACCGCTCATCCAAAAATTCTTAAATGGGATATATTAGGTTCATGACCCAAAACTAATTGCAACGGGGAATATTTATGATAATTTGTTGGCCTGAGGCGAACTAGCATTGCTGCATGCAAAATGGCGTGACCCCAAACAGAAGTGGGTAACCTCGTTTTCATGAGTAACAGTCTTGCTATCAATTGTAGACGTTTAATTAAAGACTCCGCAAGGCCATTTTGAGTGTGAACATGAGCTACAGGATGTTCCACTTTTATCCCAATTGATAAGCAATAATCATTAAATGCTTGGGATGAAAACTCAGCAGCATTATCAAGTCTAATAGACTTAATTGGATTATCGGGAAATTGTGTCCGTAATCGAATTATTTGTGCCATTAATTTTGCAAACACGAGGTTGCGAGATGACAATAGGCACACATGGGACCATCTAGAAGATGCGTCTATTAAGACCATAAAATATCTAAACGACCCACTAGATGGGTGAATAGGTCCACAAATGTCCCCTTGTATACGTTCAAAAAACGCAGGGGACTCAATTCCAACCTTTGTTGGTGATGGTCTAATAATTAACTTGCCTTCATAACAAGAAGTGCAAGAAAATTCATCATTTAAAAGAATCTTTAAATTCTTTAATGGATGCCCGTTTGAGTTTTCTATAATTCGTCTCATCGTAATTGATCCAGGGTGTCCCAATCGATCATGCCAAAGTACAAAAGTATTGGAATCGGTAACCTTTTGGTTTACAATAGAATGTGCCTCAATTGCACTAATTCTTGTCCAATACAGGCCACAAGACAAAGATGGGAACTTCTCAATAGCCCTTTTCTGGGCAGAGACATTTTTGGTAATGATGAGATAGTCAAGATTATTCTCATCTATTGTCTCAATATGATATCCATTTCGACGGATATCTTTAAAACTCAACAAGTTCCTCTTGGACTTGGAGGAGAACATTGCATTCTCTATGATAAGTATTGTTCCCTTAGGCAGAGTTATAGTAGCTCTTCCAGAGCCTTCAATTAAATTACTACTACCAGAAATTGTAGTAACATCTGCCTTACACGTACTTAAATGAGAGAAATATTTCTTCTCTTTGAATATTGTATGTGTCGTACACGAATCAATTAAACAAATACTTTTCCAATTGAACTTTGATCCAAGTTTACCTGGAGAGATATCGACATTTGTTTGATCCATTGAATAAAGACTGTTGCACGTTTTCTAATCTTGATTCACAGTTGAAAAGTCTTCTAAGTCTTGATCAATTGTTTGCTAATTCTTCTCTAAGAGGTAAGTGAAGACAACGAACACTACTGACTTACATACACAACCTTTCAGCATAGGCGCAACTGGATATTGAAAACATAAAACATGTTTCTTAATCTTCTTGAGACGGTAGAGTCTCGTGCTGATAACGTGTTATAAAATAATAAAAGAATAAGAACAATATTGCAGAGAAAAGTAGAGAGAGAATTCTTATTGATTTGGGATGAATTACAATGGAATAGAACCCTCTATTTATAGGGAGAGGTTAACTTAGCCACCAAGTAATAAACCCTAGAATCTCTCTAAATATGGACATTCACCATAAATAAAATTCTATTTATAACAATATTGTTAAAGATAGATGATATATTAGCAAATCAAATAATGTTTTGATGAAAATTTTAGATATTAAAGATTGATAATAATGTTTTAATGTTGGTTGAAAGTTGAAATAGAGATATGAGGTAAATGAGTAAAGACAATGGTGAAGGAAAATGATTTTACCGAAAAGTGATGGAATTAAGTTTCCATTTTTTTTTTGAATCTATACAACCAAATACTATCAGAAAATCAATTGCAATATTTTATAAATAAATATATTTCGAAAAATATAACCCATCATATAAAACACACCCAATCACTAACCGGACGTGAACCCACAAATTCCAATCCACTTCCGAAAATGCCTACAATTCCGGGTTCCCGCTTTCATGACGACGCTTCAAAAAAATTTCCCTAAGTCCCAAAAACTCTCCATATATATATATCACTTAACACTTTCTCTACTTCTCACACTCTCCACCCCTACCCCTTTCCTTTTTTGGCACAATGCCGAGCAAACGGAAGGCTTCTACACCGAAGGCTTCTACGGCGGCGGCGGTGACGAATAAGAAGTCAAAGGGACGTGCGGTGGAAAAGCCGGATCCAGTAGTGGAAGCGGTTTCTTCTACAGTTGAGTGTGATTTCGTAGAAGATGAAGTAGAAGTTGAGGAAACAGAGTGCGAGAGCTCGAACGAAGAATCGTCGTCTGCTCAAAAGGTGAGAAGAGCTGCGCAAGCGAATGACGATCAGGAGTGTGAGTTTTCTGGTGATCCGATTTCGGTTAGAGACGCTATGCAGAAATGGCCTCATCGCTACATTAATCACAAGGTTTTCTTTGCTTGAATTGTGCATTATTTTGAGTTTTTTGCATATGATTACTGTTTGAGAAATAGTTAGCATTATAATACATTGATTAAGAAAACATTATGAGTAAATGCGTACTGTTTAGAGTCCATGAGGTCTTTAGTAGTAATATTGTTCTTGTTTCTTTTTAGCTGGTATTTAACATTTATGTAATATTTTTTTTTATTTTACCAATGAGCAGGATAGAGTGAAAGCAAATGGTAAACCTATGACCTTAAATGAGTAAGTTTGGAAAGGCTACATAAAGTTGTTCATTGCACAATAGATTTTGCCTTCTGTCTTTTGGCTTCATCTAGTTTATGTTGGTATCATATGTTCCTTATGTTATATGTTTTGAATATGGTCCAGCCAAGATGATGCCGACCAATTAATCCAGGCTAAGTGTCATTTTACCCAGGCAGTGGTTGATGGTCAGATTTACAATCTCGGGGATGATGCCTATGTACAGGTAAATACTACAATGCTTAAGTATAGTTTAGCCTTTCAGTTTGGAATTAATTACACCTTTAAGATTTATTGTATGTACTAGATACCATTTTGTTATTTCGTTTGGAGTTTCTAGATTCTAATTGACTTTCTTACCATTTTGGTAAGAGGTTTTCCTTCACTATTTGTTTGTGAAAAGAAGGAAGAACAGAAAAAGTTGCTTGATTATCCCTTGAACTCTTCGGATTAACAGCTCGTTTGGATGGTCGTTTTCTATTGTATCGTATCGTATTGTTACTTTAAATACGATGTTTGTTTTGGTTGTTACTTAAATTTTATTGTATCGTATTGTTAAATCCGTCGTTACGTAACGACTAAATGTGCCACTTTATGTAACGTCCAATTTGGTTGGTTGCATCGTTATCTTGTCTTTTTATCTCATCTCGCCCTTCACTATTATTAAGTTATTTTATTTTATCATTTACCCTACCTTTTTATATAATAAATTTATCCTGTATAATAATTTTTCTTTATAATATTGCAAATTTATTCTTCATATTGCTGGTACATGATATAATGACACAGCAACGATACAATCTATCCAAACATTGTATTCATCAAACGATACAGTACAATATAATACAATACAATACGATACATTATGAAACGACACGTAACAACCATCCAAACAAGCTGTAAGTTACGTTTACATATACCTTAAAGTAGGAAAACAACCTTAATAAGATGCATAACCTTCCTAATATTTCCTTTCTAATTATATGCATATGATCATTTTATGGATCCATATATAGATTAGTCATTATTTGCCTTTTTAATTTTATAGGCTTCAAACGATGAAGATGATTATATATGCAAGATTGTTGAATTTTTTCAAGCTGTTGATGGTATGCAGTATTTTACTGCTCAATGGTTTTACAGAGCCAAAGATACTGTAAGAAATTCTTAACTTATGAAGGCTAGTTCTTCTTATCCTTGTGATGTTTAATGCTTCTAACCTTTGTTCTTTCATTAGGTAATTAAAGCTCATGACCAGTTTATCGACAACAAACGTGTATTCTTTTCTGAAATCAAGGATGATAATCCTCTTGGTTGCCTTGTAAAGAAAATCAAGATTGTTCCTATACCCTCAAATGTATGTTAGGTTTTGCTTAATAAGAAGATACATTGGCCCTCTTCGTTTTAACAAGCAACACTAATACGTGTTGGGTTTTCTTTGTAGGTAAGGCTACCGCTCAAGGAAATTTTGATATCAAATTCTGACTATTTCTATGACATGATGTACCTGCTTCCATACTCATCATTTGTTAGCTTACCACAAGGTATTTTTCAAGTGTAGTGTTCATTAATTTAAAGGCTGAAGCCAAACTTTTTCTTAAAAGGTTGTTTGGTTTGTCAACACATTTTCTTGGGCCAAAATCACTTTCCTTTACAAGTATCTCAACTTTTAGTTTTATTTTCTCCGGTCAATACTTAGATATTATCGTCAATTTTAAACAACACGCAACAATCAAATCAAATATTTAAAGCAAAACACTACTTTAGTTTGTTGGCATTGTTATCAATCTCTAACAATAGTTTTTCAGAAATTATTTTCTTCTCCCCAACCAAACACTAGAAACTATTTTTCAAGAAAACAATTATTGAAGAAATCATTTTCCTTTATACCAAGCACATAAGTGAGATATCTCTCTGATAATATAGATAACAGCGATTGCGCTATTTTTGCAGATGTTTCGAGCCCCATTAGTGAATCAGATTCTACCATATCTAGCGATAGTGATACTGTAGATGTCAAAGAACAGAAGCTTGAAAAGAACCTCTTGGATCTCTATTCAGGTTGTGGAGCAATGTCCACTGGGTTGTGCCTGGGTGCTGATATTGGTGGTGTTAAGCTTGTTACTGTATGTTCTGTTACCTAATATGGTTGTTCTTGTCCTTCCCTAGTTGTATGTTTGCTTTTGTTGAATTGTGTAACCACCTTATCTAAAAGTTTGAACTATTAAAGATGACACACTTTTATTTACTTGAATGTGCCTTCAACGTACCTCTTCACATGCACGCCTACTACTTTAACTAGCCAAGTTTGTGGAAAGACGTAGAGTGGCAGTGAGATTTGAATGCAATACCTTTAATGTTCTGATATCATATTGAAATGTGTGATTACTTTATATTAAAGGTTAATCTACACTATCTTAAAGATTAAGCTATAAAAAAAGATACTTTTATATATTTTGTTATGTCTTAACAATTTTAGGTAGATTTATTTATTTATCTATCTTGACTGCAGAAATGGGCTGTTGACCTAAATCAATATGCCTGTGATAGCTTGAAATGGAACCATCCAGAGACTGCGGTAATGAATTATAGCACATTATGTTTATCTATCTTCCTTTTGTTCTTTAAATGAATATATTATATGTGTTATGCAGGTAAGAAATGAGTCTGCTGATGATTTCTTATTACTTTTGAGGGAGTGGAGGCAGCTTTGTGCATCTTGTTCATTGTTGAGAAATAATACCCCGACACACCCTTTTCTGAAAGTAAGAGATGAGGATGAGGAAGATAACAATGATAATGGAGATGAGGACGAGGGATCTGGTGATGATGAACAAGGTGAAATTTTTGAGGTGGAAGAGCTTTTAGAAATTTGCTATGGAGACCCAAAGGAAATAAGTAAGCCTGGCCTTTACTTTAAGGTATTTATTCACCATGTTGGAACTCTTTGCATCCTAACTTGCCTACTTTACAGAGAACTCTTTGGTATAATATCTTGTAGACTACTTTAGGTGAACAACTCAAGATTTTGTAGATAAGCTAGTGTGTTTCTGTTGGTTCCTTATATCACTTAATTACTATTTATGACAAGGTACGTTGGAAGGGTTATGGCCAAGAGGAAGACACTTGGGAGCCAATAGAGGGCTTAGAGTATGAATTCCAAACTAACTAACATATTGTGAATCCATATTTTGAATTGTTAATACATTTATCTAAAATTTATATTTACCTATAGTGGTTGCCAAGAGAAAATAAAGGACTTTGTGGCCAAGGGCTTCAAAGCAAGTATTTTGCCATTGCCTGTAAGTTGCCTCTCTCTATCTTTGCCTAGTTTTGGATCTCTACTATATGAATTTATCTTTGTGATTATAATGCATTGAATCTAACTTTTCTATTGGTTGTACTCAGGGGGAAGTAGAGGTCATATGTGGGGGACCTCCTTGTCAGGGAGTAAGCGGGTTTAATCGCTTTAGGAACTCAAAGAATCCATTAGGAGATTCGAAAAATAAACAACTTGAAACATTCATGGACATTGTGGAGTTCTTGAATCCACGATTCGTTTTAATGGAAAACGTAGTAGATTTAGTCAAGTTTGCAGATGGGTTTCTAGGAAGATATGCGTTGGGTAGACTTGTTGGAATGAACTACCAAGCACGGATGGGAATGATGGTAGCCGGGGCTTATGGACTTCCACAATTTCGTAGGCGTGTCTTCATGTGGGGTGCTCTTCCTTCAGAGGTAAAAGAATAATTAATTAATTTGATATATTTATTTTCTTGTTCTTCCTTGTTCTCACTTTAAGTCTCATCTCGTTTTGCAGAAATTGCCACAATATCCATTGCCCACACATAATGTTGTTGTGAGGGGTGGAATGCCCAAAGAATTTGAGGTAGTCTACTGAACTTATTATAACACCATAGATAGAATTTGCTCTTTACTGAATATGAATATGTATTTGAATGCAGTTAAATGTCGTAGCATATGATGAGGCCTTGAAAATTGAGCTAAAGAGAGAACTTTTTCTTAAGGATGCAATTTCAGATCTTCCTCCTGTATGTACTAGATATCAAAGTTGCCTTAAGGACGTACTTCCAATTGATTAGGCATATGCTTAACATAATTGTGTTCCTTTCTTTATGGAAATATTTTTGAATTTAGGTGGAAAATGACGAACCAAAGGACGAAATGCCTTATATTGATGAAGCCAAATCTACCTTCCAACATTTCATAAGATCAAGGAGAGATGGTGAGTCCATTTATCTTGGTAGTAGTATGACATATTCTGGAGTGACTGCTTTAGTGCGATATCATTGTACCCTTTTTTTGATAATTATAGTTTCCAGGTCAGCTTGTAGCACCTTAACTATTTCACCACCACCCAAGATACTAAGTTTTCCCATCAAAGATTGGGCAAATAAAAAGAAATCACCTAGCCTTTTTTGTTTCTATTGGAAATTGAACCACGGTCTCTCGTTCTTTTGTCTATTTCGTTGATTGCTAGGCTACACTATCTGCTTATTTTTAAATTGGCCATGTTGCTATCCCTACACATTGATCAATGATTTTTGTAGTTTTACCACACGTACCTAAAATTCTATAAGTCAAAATCATTTGATATTTGCGATGCATAATAACCTGGGACGTTTCATTAGTTGTGCCCTTGGACTTGTTAATAAATGTGAAAGCTTGCAACTTTAGCTTATGTATGCCTGTTATGTGAGCATGTATGATATCTTATTTTTATTCCTAGGTCACCGTAAAGTTTTATTATTCAACTTTATAATTTTCTCCTTGAATTGTGTATTCTCTGAATTTCATTCGTTCTGAATATATTCTTGAATTATATTTTGTCTATTCGTTCAATAGCTCTTTAGAATCTTTGCTTTCGTTCATGCATGATTGTTGAACTTATCTATTATAAGAGTAAAGTCATAAAACTAGTTTTTATGACATAAATATAACTGAACTTTACGCACTTTAACGGTAAAGTTGCAAAACTATTTTTAGCCATATTAAAAATAGTTGACCTTTGCGTGGATCTCTCACAAATTAAAAATGACTGGAATGTCAAATTTCTAGCACAGAAAATACAAATGACAATAAAAAATTCATCATATAGAAATTTTGACTTCCCGTGTTTTATGAAGCAAAAACAAATCAAAAAGGGGAAATCAATAATCGACGCCAGAAATTTGTCCTATTCATTTGTATTATCCAACCAATTCACACATAGTTTAGTTGCTTTAATGTTACAATAGATAATTTTGTAACTTTCCTGTTATAAGTGGTAAAATTCAGTTATTTTGATGTGCTAAAATATAATTTTGTTATTTAATTGTTATAACGGGTAAAACATGAAATTAATCCTCAAAAAGTCACAGCTTTTAGATGTTGGAAACTTTGGCAAAAATAATAACTCTGATTCTGAAATTTTCTATGGCTTAACTAGATTTTACCTGAAATAATTCAGCATTTTACCAATGCATCTAGACCTTCAGATATGTCGGATGGTGGTGTAATCCTTTTGTACATTTTGATAGCATTTTTATATTGTAGGGACATTAGGGTCTGTTTTGTATGATCATCGGCCCCTTCGGTTAAATGAAGATGACTATGAGCGTGTATGTCAAATTCCCAAGCGGAAGGTATTACACCTTTTATATCCTGCTATTTGTGGTAGTGATATGAACATGTCCCTAGGTTGTTGATTCCTTCTTCCATGATTATAGGGTGCAAACTTCAGGGACCTGCCTGGGGTTCGTGTTCGTGCTAACAATACTGTTGAATTGGATCCAGATGTAGAAAGAGTAAAAGTTGCTTCCGGAAAGCCTTTGGTATAATTTGCTTTTTGTGGGAGCATTCAATTTTGACAGTTTTTTTTCTATTTCTTATGATTTTTCAAACTCACAGGTCCCTGACTATGCGATAACTTTTGTTCGTGGTACTTCCACAAAGTAATGATACAATCTTTTCCTGATTTGATTTAGCTTGCACTACCCCTTACCTATCATAATGATTCTACTATTGTCATGGTATTTGAAATTATATAGGCCATTTGGTCGTTTATGGTGGGATGAAATTGTTCCAACAGTTGTTACAAGAGCAGAACCCCACAATCAGGTACCTTTGCCTTTGCTAGTTGTCTCAAAATAAAACATGCGCTTCTTCACTTGGTGTGTTCTGATGCCCCTTGTCGTTCTTGAGCTCCTTTCAGGTCATATTACATCCAGAGCAGGACAGAGTTCTTACTATCCGTGAAAATGCACGGCTGCAAGGTTTCCCTGACTACTACAAACTGACAGGGCCAATAAAAGAAAGGTAACTATTGAATCAAAATAGTGGCCAGTTGATGGTATATTTGTGTGATCTACTTTAGTGACTCATCTGCAAACACTCTTCAGCTTACTCTTATTTACATCATTCTAATGTCTAACAACTGCTCATGCATGTTTTTATGATATGACATGTAGAATATATCTAGCTTGAGTTGAACTCAGAAAACTAATAACTGAATATGCCAAATTTAACTTAGAGATCAGCCTATAGTTTTAAGGAACTGCTCAGACGTAGAGAGATTTATTTGAGCTGTTTTGGTCGAATGCAATTTAGCCTTTGCTATATCAACATATAAGTTGGACACTCTAAATTTTATCTGAAAAATATCCTGCTTGAAGAGTCTAATTTCCAGAGAAATGTTTTTCAGTTATATAATGCCGTACTAGGAAATCTATAGCAACAACCTTTTAATTGCAGGGTCTGACTTGAATCTGTTTTGTGTTTCATAGGTACATGCAAGTAGGAAATGCAGTTGCAGTACCAGTGGCTCGGGCTTTAGGGTATTCTTTAGCGCTGGCATTGGAAGGATTGTCGGGAGAAAAACCCTTACTGTCATTGCCACCTAATTTTCCATGTCTAGAGGAACTGGGCTCCAATGAGGAATCTATAGATTAAATTTAACTATTTGACCATCACACAAGCTATTCACCCGTAGGAAGATTTTGGGACTGATCATTCCAATATAAATCATTCATTGCAAAATTAGGCCAATGGAGAAGTTGGGAAAAACATTGATTTTTTGTATGTATCACTTACTGCTATATTCGTGATTCACAGTTTAGTTGCTTTGGCATAAATGAAGGCACAATTTAATTATTTTGATTATTCAACATATATGCACTTATAATGTTAAGATGTAATGATTTGAAGCCTGAAGGGCTGTGACATACATTTTGCTTTGATACTTGGAGAGTAAGATGGCAACAAAAACTGTGGAGAGTAAGATGGCCACTATTTTGCTGCAACAGGGACCGGTCCAGTATAATATACGGGAGTTCTGGTGCATTTGTGTTACGAACTCCAGCATATTATGCTGGACCGGTATACTTTGCTAACTCCTGTAAAATTGCGGGAGACTGGAACACCAGTGCTCTTAACTCCAGTATATTATACTGGACCAATTATACTTGCTGGAACTCCCGTAAAATTTGCGGGAGTTCCAGCATAGTTATCCTGGAACTCCCGTAAAATTTACGGGAGTTCAAGCATACTTGGAACTCCCGTAAAATTTGCGGGCGTATTTTTCCGGATTTTGAACAGTGTTTTCGCTCAGATTTAAAGTGGCTAAATTTCAATGACTTTTAAAACTTGGCTATTTTTCAACGACCAGTGGTAAATCTGGCTATTTTTGAATTTCTCCCTCTAACTTATCCATAATCCACTTACCTGATTTGCTACTCATAATATTCACCTAGCTGGTAGACAAATTGTTCTCTTGTATGCAATGTCCCAGCTTTCTTGAGTGTGGTGTGCTTGCTCAAAGTCTGGAGGCAATGGCAGATGTAACATATAAGTAACAAGTTCAACTGAATCTAACATTTTCAACGCGACATATGGATATATAGGTGAAAAATCTCTCAAATTTAAGAAAATATTAAATCTTGAACGCATAATTATAAAAGTTTAAATGTGTTTAGTGATAATAATCTAAAGAACAACCCACCAAATCTGAATCAAGCCTCTGATCGGGGTAGATGATGAGTAAACAAGATGTCTGCACAATCCAAACAAGAGCTCACTATGAACTATCTGCACTAATTTTGACTAGGGTTGAGAAACCCACTCGAGCAGGAGAGATGCCTGATCACATTAAGAGAAGACAATGATAATATCAAATGCCCCTATAATGAGAAAGCCAAGTCCTATCCATGGAGAAAATCAAGAACACAACTTAAGGTAGTTGGTGGCTGAGTATCCATTGATTAACAGAGGTTCTGCAACCTAATATCAATTGTTTCTCATCATCTATTATTACAATTCACTGGTCATGAGTCGCTTAACAATAAAAAAGGAAGAAGAGTATCAGTCAATCAGATGGCAAAGAACTCATGGTTTCATCAACTTTTAGCCAGAGCTGAAAGCTAAAATAAATGGAATGACATTGAACAAAAGTTACACTTCCATATGGTATATAATGTGAAATAAACAAGACAAAGCTAACACATCATTCAGTTTCAAAGCCAGGCAAATTGGCCGTCAACTTGCAAAAACTTTTACTACAAGAGACATTAATTCATCCTGTTTGAAAAGCTCTCAAATTAAATACTATTTCATCCGCATTACAAAGTAATAACTTTAGTCTAGTAGAACAAACTCTAGCAAGTAATAAGCAGAATCATCTCTTAGCGCGTTTGTTTTTTGCAGAAAATTCACCCTTTTGGAATCCTCCTTTGAAATCATTGGTAGTCTCAGCAGTGTTCTGCTTCTTTAAACCTTTTCTCCCACCAAATCCAAACTTGGAGTCCCTGAATTCCCTGCTTTTCCTCTTCTTGTCTGGCCCCTTCCCTTTTCCACCAAATGTTTTCCCACCAAATGTCGCCCTTCCCCCTGAACGATCTCCAGGAGATACACCAGGTCTCTTCTTATTTGATCTCTGAAAGGGTTTAGTATCGCCTTCATCAAAAGGCAAATCTAGTCCGGCAGCACCCTCCTTATCGAACCCACTCTGCTGCCTCTGCTTCCTCCACTTTTTAACGGACTCAATATCCTGCTTCTTCTGCTTTGCCCTATCTTTCATCTTCTGTGCTTGTACTTCCTTGGCCAGTTTCTTGTTATCTCTCGCCTTCCTCCTCTCTTCAGACTCCTCCATCTTTCTCTTCTCAGCTAAGAGTCGGCCCTTAACTTTCTCCATGTGAGTGTCAGTCTTCACCATTTCCGCATAATAATCAGCGGGCCTCAGAAAAGGTTCACCCTTTGACTGAAAGCTGAGGTACGTTTGACGTGCACCATCCAACGCCTGAGTGAAGAAAGAGTGCTCCCTCGCCAAATCATCATTCACATCCACCACTTCTTGCTCTTCCCTGTCGATGTTAAGCCTGTGACTCCAATCTAAATTATCAGGCCAACTGATATCTGCCAGCCTTTCAAGCAAACCGTCCCTGTTATATACAGCAGTCTTTGAAGGTTCAGCCAACTTCACAACTTGCTGATCTTCTTCTTCATCTCCTTCTTCCGATTCAGTTTCTGGGTCGGAATCCTCATTCTCTGGGTTCATCATGGCCAATTCATCCTTAACCATCATACACTCGCACTTTCTGATAACATAAAGAAAAGATAATATTAGAGTTACCCACTAACTCCTGTGTGAGCTTCACATCCTAGCTCAAATTGCCCGTCCCAAGCTCAAATAAAGGAGGCGGGTTGGGGATGATTGACAGCAATCGCAAAACAATTAACAACCAAGTACTCTAACAGACTAACATTAACTCAACGACCGTTCAGCTACACCAATTCATATTAAATTGGTTTTTCAAATTCTCATTTATTAAAAGGGTATGATTTGTAACCCAATGTTTCGCAACTAGAATGTTTAAGTAAATGAGAGAAATTTAACTTCCAACCCAAGAACTGAACACTAAAAATCCAACAGAACACTAACATAGCAACAAAAAATTATCTTTTTTTCTTTATAAGTAACACAAATGATGCAAATAAAATAGTTATTAGGTGAAGTTGGAGGAGTTAGCCATACTACATGGATACATGAGCTGACAATAATAACCAATTATAATATGGATTAACTATTAGATTAACAAATATTGGGCCTATATATACACTCTTGTATTACATGTTGCAGTATGAATAAAAACCTAATTCCTCTCTCTAAAAACCAATGAGCTAAATAATTAAATTAGAATGAGCTCATTCTTCTTGAATTTGCTCGCAACAAAAAAAAAAGAAATAATCTTTTTAACAAACCTATAGCTGTTCTTTGTTTCCTTTTTCCTCTTTTCAGTCCATATTTATAAATGACTGAAAATGATAAATTTCAACCCAGGAAACACTAAAAAAACACCAGCAAAAATTGAACTTTACAAATTTCAACACAGGAACTGAACACCAACAATACAACAACAAAAAAACTCATCTTATTAACTACCCAGATCTTTTCTTTGTTTCTTATTCCTTTTTTCACTCGATATTTGAAAGATTATTCTGTTTCAAGCCATAACCATAAAAAAGCAAATAATATACAAATTTAAGCAGTCAAAATCACCAAAACACAATAAAAAAAACATAATCAAGGTTCAATAAGACAGAGAAAGAACTTACAACAAATGGAAGAATTCGAGAGAGATGAAGAGACAAAGTTCTGGTACTTTTACAAGGGTTTAGGGTTTAGTGTTAAATACAATTGGTGGGCTGAAATTCATGGGATTTGGGTCAGAAAATATACGGGCTTGAAAGTACTTTGGGCTTTTATATTGAAAGTTTGATACTCAAGAGGCCCAGGAATAGGCCCAGATGGCTAGATTCCCTAAAGGATTTTTTCATTGGAATTTTTACCTCCTATAGCAAAGGTTAACACCTTATTTATTTTAAATAAATATCATTTAAAAAAATTATATTCTATAGATACCTTTTAATGTTTATAGCAAAATATCTAATTTTGGTTATCTCTTACCCCTAAGCCAATAAATGCGCTATTCAGTTACACTATTTTCTTTCTCTCTCTACTTTGATACATGCCATTCTCTTCCCCCATTCCCTGCTAACAAGATGCTCAATCTCAAAATTCCTCTCACCCTCATCACCTACCATTAGTCACAAACAGTGATTTTTCCTGGTATACCACGAAGACTTCTCTGACTTTCTCTTTGTCTTAATTGTGGCAACAGCAGCATTCACATCCTTAGGCACAACATCACCTCTGTACATCAAACAGCAGGCCATGTACTTCCCATGACGTGGGTCGCACTTGACCATCATAGACGACGGCTCAAAAGCAGTGTTAGTAATTTTTGCAACCGAAATTGAATCCAAAGGAGATGAAGCCTCCGATCGACAACGGCGTGGGAACAGTGAGATTCAGGGTTTTTGCTCGACGGCGGATTCGCTGGAAATTAGGGCTTGTGCTTGAACAAAGACGACGGAGTTTGGAGCTGACCAACTTGATTTTCTGTTAATATATTTTAATATTTTTTCAACGTATCACGCAGTATTTTCATGTATTTCATTGTCTTTTTTCTCATTGTAATTCAATGTATCTCGCTGTATTCCATGTATTTCATTGTATTCACTGTCTTTTTTTCCATTGTATTTCAATGTATCCCGCTGTATTCTATGTATTTCACTGTCTCGCTATATGCCATGAATGTATTCATATGTTTTTTTTAATTAATATAATTTATGTATTCAGATGTATTATATAATTTCTCTGAAGATTGCTATATTTTTGGGGTATTTTTCGGTTGAGAATCTTTTTTTATAACTGGAAATACAAATTTTGTGTGTTATAATTGAGTTTGTTGAGTTATATTAGGAGTCTATTATGTTAATTGATTCACTTTCCGTTTAAAAATAGTGTAATCCCCTGTTTCGCGCCGTGAATATAGTCGAATACAATAATCTGTCCAGCTGTAATCCCATGTTTCACGCCATGAATACAGTCGAATACACTCGAATACAATAACTAATTAGCTGGACTTCCCTGATTCATGCCTATTTTTGCTACTGTATTCATGAATACAGTAGCTTAAATACATCTAATACATCTTATAACAACAGAAAACGTATCTACAATCCGTAATATAGCAAATGGTATCTATAGATAGCTAATTACCACTAAAAGATAGTGCTTTATGAAAATTTCTCTTTTTTCCTTCCTATACAATATTTGGAACTTGTTTACCAAAATTATCCTAGTTTTGTATATTACCCATCCTAAACAAAGATTAGTTAC